GTTTTTTTCAAGCCATTCAAGCCATTCGTCCCTATAAGTTTTCTTTCTGTCTCACGATTTTGAAAGTGGAAGATAAATATTTGTGTCTTATCCGGGTTCGGTTTCAATTGGGTTTTTTTATGTGTTGTGCATTGTTAATTCTTGAAGTGACTTCTTAACTCACTTCATCCGATTGTTTGGAAGGTTGTGTCCTAGGCTATCGTGGCCAAGTCGTCTGCATATAGAAAGTACTTCTAAACCATTCTAAGCCAAAAGGTAGTAAGCAACAAAGTAGTAGTTTTGAGAAAAATGACTTTTTCTGAATTATTTGGTTGTTTTCTTCACATTTTCAAAATAAATGATTAATTATTAATTAAATGATTTTTAAACAACTTTCCGTGTATAATCTGATAACACTTATGGATGAAATCTATCATTTCTCGAAACACCTGAAAAGACGTATGTGTATATGTTTTGTACTGCTTTTTTGCTTAAAATCATTTTTATATTTTAAGAATGCGTATATGTTAATTCACAATTATTAAGAAATCTATTGCATTTACGGTATTTTTGCAAGACAATCAAAAAATGCGCCTTTAAAATACGAATATTCTGGTATAGTAAACTCATTTTTAAAATTTTGTTGCTTACTGCTTTTTGGCTTAGGAGGATTTGTACACGCTACCCTATTGTAAACTTTTATGCTGATTTCTCCATCTGCTTCATTTATCATTTAGGGTAACTTAGTTTCCGGGGGAGGGGGGGGTGTTTAGTTATTACTGCTGAGTTATTTTAATGAAATTCTAGCCATTCGACTTAGTTCTATTAAAAATAAATTGTTTAATATCTGTTGGACACTTTATTATACTCCATTTAACTATATTTTTACTGTGTAGGCATTTTTGTAGGATAATATTTTTGTTTTTGTTGGGGGAAGTTCAATTTATTTTTAAACCCTATTAGCATAATAACTTTATAAAAAATAAAAATGTTTGTAGGAGAAAAGCATTTTGGTAGTATTTTCTCTATGGTGGGTTTCCTGTGTTTGATTGCATTAATTAATTAGTTCTCGGAAACGCTCCTAAATGTGCTCAAAATGAACACACACGAGATTATTCGAACATAATATTACACGCAGAGGAATTTTTTAATTATTCAAGTGTAACAGTAGCTATAGTCGTCAAAACGGAGTTCAGTAAATTTCGTTTTCTATAATAAAGATGATACCGTTAATGATAATAATTTATAAAATCAACTGGTAGAGAAAAGTCGAAAATACGTTATATTATCAATCAATTATAGATTATTTCAACGGTGTTAAAAGGGCGTATAGTGTCTGCTAAAAAACTGTTTTGCAATGAAACAGCAAAACAGTTTTTAATGATGTTTATCATGAGAAACAATAAAATTACTCGTACACATAAATGATATAATTATATTTTAAAACGGCACCTGGATATCTTTTAATCGACATTACCAACTTAATTTGTTGTATTTAAATACACCATTTTACCAGTTTATGCTCCAAATTTTTTTTTTTTTTTTTGATACCAAAAACGTATTTTTCGATTTTTTGTGGTATACGCTCTTTTAACAAAACATTATCTATTTATATAATTTTTAGGTATACTAATACACGCATAATTTAAATTTGGCAAATATTTTGGCGTTTCGAGGTTGACGTTAGTATAATAATATCTATATACACATATAGTATATGACATATGTATTATACGAGTCTGTATAAATAGCGTGTGGCACAGTTACTGTAACGATAATAATAATGAAAAAAAAAAAAAAAATTATCGCAGACATCCTTTCAAGCTCGAACGTCACGGAAAACGCGTTATAATAATATTATACGATTGAAATCGAATATACATATTTAGTGTCGGGTTCTCGTCTATTATTGGGTGAATTTTTTAAAATTAAAACGACGTGTTTTATTATGTAATAGAAAATTCTGAATCGAAAGCATCAATCGTGTTGATAACATTACATTATGCGACGACGCGTAGAACAAATCTAGGAAAATGTCGAACGGTTGGCATATTATTGATGGAAGCTATAGTCTATAATGTATTCAAAAACGACCATCGTGGATTAAATTGTATACGTTTTATCGTTCTTTTTATGTCCAAACGATGATCGAAGATGGACGCGCGTTCTTAAACATTAAATTATGTATAATTTATTCAGTCCTTGGTCATTTTGGTTGCGAAAATAATGTGATCAGAGCATTATATTGCAGATCAGTGCGTACAGCGTTTCCTTTGTATATTATACGACAATAAGCAGACGAGTAAATTATTACTTTCCGAAAATACGATTTAAAATATTCGATTTATAATACTCGTTTTGAATGACATATCTTATAGGTACGTTGTATACGTAGAATATGACGTTTGTTATGTAAAGTGGCAATGTACGAAATAAAAAAAAAAAAACTAACATTAATTATTAGCAACAATATTAAACATAGGTACCTACATCGTTTTCGTTTCGATACTCCATACAGAGCGATCTATTTATCACGACCCAGTGATAGTTTTCCCGGACGATTTGAAGTGATTTCGATTTCTATATTTTGCTTTTCATCAATCACGAATCCCAAGTAGCCGAGATGAAGGCGAAAGAGAAGAAGAAAAAGTAGAGAATCGTTAAATTTATTAATTTGAATTATTTTCAATTGCTTACTCCCTACTCCTTATGTCTAAAATAAATATAAATGTACACTTTTCAAATAGAAACCGCCAGCTTTTTAAAATACAGATTCGATTAGAAAATATCGCTTTTTAAATTTCGATATTATGCACAACATTAATATTGGATTTACCGTTTTTAAGTTACATAAAAGTGTATAGTTTAGTAAAGATTAAAGAAGCGTTATCGATGTTTTATCTAAAAACGGATATGCACTTTATTACTCTTCCTTACTTCTCCGGTCTAAACTTTAAACTGTTACAACTCAAAAACGGTAAATTCGATATTATAAGTCGATATAATATCGATAATCTGTATTCTAGAAATTCTCCTGAAAAAAAGAAGAGGTTATTCTATTTGGAAATCAAAAGTGTATATACTCATTTAAGATATGAGGAGTGGAGGTGGTAAAAATTTGAACAAAATTTTAAAACAAAGCTTAAACGATTCGTTAATGATTAGGGAAAATAAACAGATATAAAATTCACTCAAATTATCTGATAAAATCGCTTGTTTATGACAAATGGATTTACTCTGCATAGATAATTAAGTATTGATTCAATTCAATTTTCCAATTACACAATAAAATGCCGAGTATAATAATTATTATTACAACTAAATCATTTAGTAAACGTGATTTTTAACGGTTGTACGTACGTAGGTATTTTCTCAATAAATAAATGTTACTGAACTATTATTAAGTTCGGCGTGCAGTTTTTATCGGGCTAGTGTCTGGTATTTAATTATTTCAAATATTTCAAATATCAACGGTCAGCAGAAAACTAGAATTTCTGTTTATCTGGAAATTACCGCTATAGGAATGCATTTTTGTTTTACAGAAAATGAATTAGAATAAAAAAAAAATTAAGGCTTATGCGTCTTTACATATTTGAATTTAAAAAAAACCTACAAGGACAGCTATCGCTCATTCGTTATAAACTTTATCAGTATATATCTGTTATAAAACATCCGTGGTATGAATATACTTTTAGTAAAAATGTAAGTTGTAATTATTTGCTGTGATGTGTAAACACGATAGCAAACGTAGTACTTATTTATAAATGTTAATTAATGATAATTATATAGTTATTTGTAGGGTTTAGGAACTTAATCGAACGCTGTAACGAAAATTCTCGAGATACGAGTACGCGCAGAGTAGAAAATAATGGAATACTGCTAATGCAAATCGAAGCCGGAAAATACAAATATAAAACAAATTATTAAACGTAATAAATTAAACATGAAGTTAATTATATTAGTTCTGTGTGAGTACCTTTAGAACAATTGCAGATAACTATTATAAAGTTAATGTCAAGATCGAAACACATCGTCTGGTACTCACCTACCTTGTTTTGTTAATTAAATATAATTAGTTAAACCGTACCGTTACCTACATCATACTGCAATCATTGGCTTATTGGTGGGTGGGATACATAATAATGTAATCCCACTGAAAATATAAATGTGAAAAAGTTGGCCATGTTCACTGAAAAAAGCATTGAGATCTAAGTCAATGTCAATAGTAAGGTAAGTTAAAAAAAAAAAATAAGAACTTACTGCTACATTTTTGACTTGGTAAGTAAACCCCCTATCTCTAAGTTGGATTTTGATTTTTTTTCGCAATAATCACCTAAAATGTTCTAAATTTTAAAGATCAATCGGAATTATATTTTTTAAAGAACTAACAGTGAAAATTGGTAAGCAATTATGGACACTCGTATCATGGAAACTATACCACCTAAACATACAGGATTTGGTACACCACTTCTTTTTAGTAACCTTAACCCCTGAAAAAACGCGGTCCTATCAGACTGTAATATAATCACAACGACCTTTAATGACAAAATAACAACGACATTCGTTTTAGAGATCATCATATAATTATTTATTTCATCAATATTGAAAATGCTTAAATTTGTGTTACATTCGAATATTTTAAAATAATTTATTCTAATTTTATATTAATATATTAATAATATAAATACTATAGTATAATTTTTACGCGTTTATACAAAATTACATATTATAATAATATAAAATAATAAAATTATGAATTTTTCTTTTCGCATCTAAGAACTTATACGTTTAATATAAAATAATAAAATTAACAAAAAAAATAAAATAAATATAAAATCATATTCAAAGGTCATTTACATAATAATAATATAAACTACAAAGTACAAGTTAACATGCGTTTATAAATGTAACAAAAATAACAATAAATTATCTTTGGTTTATATTCAAAAACAGGGACGTATAAAACACGCACCTACCTATATGTATAATTTACTTAAAAATCAAAAATACCTATTACATTGGCCGATTAAACAATATGTGTTAATGCAATTTTCATTACCAGCTGGATTTGACAACGAAAATCAATCAAATAATATAATATTGTATATTATTCGAATAAAATATCATACCAAATAGTTGTAATGACCGAAAAACCAATACACATAAAAAACTATAATCGTCTTCCTCAGCCTCAGCCGTTAGGTTGTAAAAATTAGCGATAGACACAACCGAATGGTTACTATATCGAACTGTTCGAAAGATTGAAAACTAATCGAATAGTTTATGGGTTATAGGTTATGTGAAATGCTATTTGTACAAGCAAGGTTATATTCGAATAGTTTTTCAAAATATTCGATAGGTTTCCCGGTTACAATTACTCGGTAATGGAAAAAATATTCGACTGAAATAATCAATAGTTCATTTAAACTAACTAAATGTAGTATAAACTATTCAGAAGTGTGCATCTCTAGTAAAAAATACGCGCGTAATAATATTTTAGTACGCCAAAATTCCTGTTTGAAAATATATATCCTCGCATTATATTTCTATAGATATATTATTGTTACTAAATTATATAAAATAAAACAATTTATTAAGTCTTAAATTACCTAGCTATGTTATAATTTTTTAGTTTTTTTAGTTTTTTTTTTTTTTATACGTTTAATGCGACAAATTACTACCATACATCCTTTATACGATTAAGACTAGAAAGGTGGGTTCAGAATATTCGCACTGATAATCGAAATATAGAATAAAATTCAATATGAATAATATTAACGTATATTATTATACTATTATGTTAAAACACAAAGCTGGGCAGTAGGTAACTAGTTGAAAAGTTAAGTTTTATAAGTTCTTTTTTGATAACTATAGTTAAAAAAATAAAATAAAATGTTTGAAAATAATGTAATTATTTCTTTTAGTAAGTAATTTTAACTCGACTCAGTTATATTATTGGTTAAAATTTAAGTTAAAATGAAACCTGTTCTTACGGTTACCTTTATTAACGGTCAAAATAATTGGGTCCCGACAAAAAGATAGGTATTTTAATGTATACCAGGGAGTATAACATTTTTTCCATCGATATGATAACGGACTCCAATTTTACAGTTAAATCCTGAACAACGAATTGTATGTTCAACCGATTACTTTTATATCGATAAAATGAAGCCGTATTAATGCGTGATCAATATAGATAAAATATTGTGACACTATATTATCATTATCCTAATTCAACAAAAAATCTTATCTGTCGTTTACGTATATGCAGAGTTGGTTACTTTGTACTGCGGAAATCTTTCTACTCAAAGTAAAAAGTGAAAATTATTCGGTGCAAAAAACACTATAGACTACAACGGCTTTAAAATTTGTAAAATCACTGGAAAATTGGGCATCGGGAAAACGCAGATAGCTCAATGAATTTAACGGTTGTTGTACACTTTTTCCAAATCTAATATCTCAACTTATAATTTTTCGACGACAATCGTATTTTCCCGATGGAATATTACAAATTGTCATTGATAATAGTATGCAAATAGTATGCAAATAGTTTGTATTAAAATAATATTATATTCTATGAATAATATTCCAGTCGATTCTGGAATAACTCAGCTGTACGCGTATATTATCATTTGTAGTTGACTATAGTTGCATGTTTATTTGTTCACACACAATGTGGATACACGGATGATAACAATTATTGTATAATAATAATAATAATAATAATAGTAAATAGTTTGCGTTTTAATTGAGAACAATTGTTTGTATTTATTTATGATATGTTTTTTAAATATCTGAATTTTTGGAACTTTTTCCAGAACTTTTGAAAAAAAAAGCATTGAATGAAAAAAATTGGGAAAAATGTCTACCTGCTATACGAATTTGACAATAAAAACTTTTAAACCTTTCTATAACTTACATCTTTATGCAATGAATACTTTCGATGGTACCGTGAGTGTCCGTTACCGGCACGTTTCACTGCATTTCTAAAAAATCATTTAGGCATTTTTATATAAACATCTTTTTTTGCATACGAATATATTTTTAAAAGAATTTACGTATTTTTACGTGAATATCATTATTATAATATAATAAGACGAGTGTGCGGCCTATAATAGAATACTCATGAGAGTTTTGTAAGAGTAAGTCGGTAAAAGTATAAATATTATAGAATATAGAAAATACGTTTATGAGTGGTAATTAAGGGTGTGATATATTAAAATAAAAACTTAACTTTCAACTTTGCTTATAAGTTAATATTTTCCTGAAAATGTGTAACTTAATATATTTTAACTCATTTATATTTTAAAATTAACTTTAAGTTGGCTAAATAAATTCTTTTTGGATAACTAAACGTGGATTAGTTGACAAAAATCAGTTAACTTGCCCCCAGCTTTGTTGAACGTTATTATATTATACTAATATGTTGGTAACATTGTCCGATTTATATATTATTGTTAACTAATCGCAGTAGGCAATATTATAAATACGAATCGACGAGCATCGTAATACACATGGCATTATATTACGACAATTTTTGTCCGTATACGTGACAGAAAAACCGAAACCGCGCTCCTGAAACACAATCGGAGTACAGTTGGCCTAAAGTCACACGCATAATCGGATAAACGTTATAAAGCGCACAAGCACTCGCCTACGTACGCACGCAGGGGCATATACAAAGGGGGTGGGGATCAAAGTGATGACACCGAGTAGGAAGAAGTGGGGCGGTAGCTCCTCCCCCCAAGGACAAATCCTCATCATTCTCTTGCAAATTTTTTTTTTTTTCCATTTTTTTTTTTGCAATTATTACAAGTATTCATTTAAGTCTTCGTTATATTATATATCATTGAATACCTGATATATTTTATTTGTACGATGTCTAAGACTGTAAATAAAACGAGCGATAGGGGATCAAACTAACCCATATCCCCCCATGTATACACTCTTGCACGTATACACACACATACACACACCTAAACACACACACACACACACACACACGTACACAGACACATAAGCACTGCACAATCAGCCAATCTACAGCGGGGTGCCAATTTTACGAATATAATACGAGAATTCTTACATATAAGTACCTATTATTATCACAGAGTACGTAGTTTACTGTTTTTTCAGACTCCTGGGCCTGATTCTGAATGGAAACGTGACGAACGGCAGGGCCAGGTTTCCTTTGGGCACGGCGTATGACACGTCTTCGACTGGCATCAGCGTGTACTTGCTCAGCAACGTGCCGATTGTGCAGAACGACAGTAACTGCACCAACTTGTAGCCCATGCACGATCGCTTGCCGCCACTGAACGGTATAAAGTATTCGGGTTTCTCCAGCCTTCCCTCGGCATTTATGAACCTCTCCGGGCTGTAATGTTCGGGGTTCGTCCATAATTCCGTGCTCATGTGCAGACTATAGTTGTTCAGGAACACAGTCGTGCCTTTCGGAATTCTCACGCCTGTTCGGTGACAATAAAAATATAATATCAATACAACGGTATACACATGTAAATATTACACTATTATAGTCCCTGGAGATGGGGGGACTGATGCTTACCGTCGACCGACGTATCTCTGTTCGCCAAATGCGGCACGATTGGCGAGGCGATTAGCCGAAGCGATTCGTAGACCACGGCCTCTGTGTACGGCATATGTGGACGGTCTGCCAGCCCGATGGATCCCGAAGCACGGATTACGGCGTCCGCTTCCTCTTGGATGCGCCGCTGCACGTCCGGCCTGTCCACCAGGAACCCCAGAGTCTTGACGATGAAATTGGTTATGGCCGAATGGCCGCCAATGATGTCCTCTAACGAAAATAGCCCGGTGTCCAAATCGAATCTGTCGTCCCGGTCGGGCTGCATGGCCGCATCCAACAAGTTGTCTACAAAGTCCACTGGCTTGGTTCCTGGCGTCCATGCCGCCTTCCTTGCGTTGAATATCTCGGTTTCCATGAATTCGCGGATTTTCGAACTCCAAGCGCGTATCTTGCGGAAGTGCCAGCTGTACAGCGGCGTCAGACCGGGCAGAAAGTCACACGGCGAACCCATGTTCACCTCGTAGAACACGTCGTCGAAGTTTCGGATGAACTCCCTAAACCGGCCGTACGTTCTGGAAAACCGGGTAGAACAGAAATACGACATGAACACGTTGGCGCACGAGTGCAGCAGAATGTTCTTCAGGTCTACGCATCCGGTGTCGGCCATGCCGTCAATTGTGTCCGTTATTTCAGTTAGTTCGGTTTTCAAGCACTTGTCTAGTCGGGCGTACATGTTGGACGTCGCGTTGGGAAATGTGTGAGCCCTCAGCAACTCGCGCCGAGTTTTTTGTAGCTGGGACCAGTCACAGAATGCTAGAGCTAAACATTACGAGAAACCAAATCGGGTTTAATAAATTCGTCAAATCCTTAATATTATTATTATTATAATACATATTAGGTGCATATATATTTTATATAATATTTGATTTATTTTCTAGTTAGATACTTACAGTTGTTCTTGTCACCTTTGAACAGTTGGTTGAACCGACGGAACGATGGACGGCTGTCGAAGTGGTCCCCTTTGATCATTATCACTTCCCGGATGTTGTTTAGCCCGTTGACGACTACGCACGGTACCGATCCCAGGTCCATTCGAAAAACGGAACCCAAATCGGCCATAATTTCGTCGAACACTCGGTACGGTACCTTGTATCGCGCCATCAGATACAAATGTCCGATTATGGGCCACGCTTTGGGAGCAGGAGCGTCCACTAGACCCATATTGACTACGTCGTCTACCGGTTTCGTTTTCAGTTCGTCTCGAATCAGGAACAATAGCACGGCGGTCAACACGATTAGCAATAAGTACGTTAATGAACTGAACACAAATTCCATTGTTGTAATTATTATTTAAAATCTTAAAAATATTATTCTATTTATTTTGTAATTTGATTTTGTTTCGATTTGTTTAATCTGTGATGAGTATCGGTTTTAATTTACGAGCAATTACTATTATAAATTACAATTATTTTTATTTTTTTCAATCGTCGGCGATCGCAGAGCTCAAATGTGTGTGTATGCGTGTTGTTGGTGTGTAGCTGTTGAATGTGTGTGCTGAGCTCTCCTGCACTCGACAATTGTAATGCCATGTTTGGATTTTCCTTTTATACACCGTCAGGATCAGCTGACTGAGCGCATTCGTTAAGGACGGATCGCGGTGATTTCCAATGCAAATCAGCGTTATTTTTCCCTTTCAACCTGTTGCCCCCCTGTTCACCTATAATATGTAAAACTCCGTCGCTTCGGCTAGACATACATACTAAACGGCCATCTTTGATCGTGGATGACGTAATCCATATACGGATGTAGCTCGTTTGGACTTAATTTCAATAATATTATATTTTATACTACCTTAATAAAAACGTATATATATATATGTGTGTGTGTATAAATACAAACGGAATATAACAGATTTAGGTGTCTCAAATATTCAAAACGAACGTTTCATTTTCGTTTTTTTAATCAGACTTACAAACTAATTATTGTTTGTTTTTATTGCTGTGGGATGTTCTCTTACTTACAGCACAGAAATTCCCTCTATAGGTGTCCATGTACGTATATTATATTATGGTTAATGTTGAAAACTGGAAAATGTCAAATTTTTGTTTAGTAGATTCAATTTTGTACTGTTTAAATTTTAATATTAGAGTAAATTAGCCTATTATGAATTGTTCAGTAAAAATATTATTTGTATTAATACGTTGTTTTTTTTTCAATTTTTAATTTTTAAACGAGGCATGCGTATGTAACATTTCACATTTTAAAAAATCTTCGTTATCTCGATTATAAATCGGAAATAAACTAACGTATTGAAACAGACAATATTCTTAAATTCAAGTTTGGTAATAGATCAATTCACTCTAATATTAAAAATAACTGCACAAGAAGAGATATACTAAACGGAAATTGGGCATTATTCATTATCAACATTGGTCATAACATACATTGATTATTTTCGTAATCTATTATTTATATTTGTCATACAGTACTATATATATATACCAGGAGATAGGAAACCAGAAATAGAAAAAAACTAAATTTGGTCAATGGTCAATTTCAACTTTGTTCAAATGTAAGTATTGTGTCTAGTATAAAATCGAGGACCGTAATTTTTTTACATACTAATTGGGAATCTATCGCATAAAACCTATGTCCCAGGGTTTCTATTTTGGGTTTGGATTGAGAAAAGTGATTACGAATAGATTGAGAGCTGCCACTAAAAGCTATATTTTTTTCGTTAATAATTAATAATATTCTGACTTCCATTTAATACAAACAAAAACATTTCTCCCAGACAACACAGTGTAATACTATACACTACCACTATTAATACAAATTTAATTTTAATAAAAGTTTTAACAAGACATTTTTTCAACTAGTCTAAATTTCAAAAACATAATAAATTCAATTTACAACTTGTATAAAATGAACTCACTCGTAAGTTAACAAAGTAGATAATTACCTACTGTTTATATAAAATTCATCTAAAAATACTTGATTACTTAAATATATATTTATTTACGTCTTATACTTACAGCAGAACTATTCCGGAAGTACGGTAGACGAATTGAAAAATATAATAATGATTCAAAATGAAAAATTATGTGAGTACGAGAAAAAATTAAAGTTGTACAATGATGTGGTTGCCGATAGGGATAACTTATTAGAGATAATTAAACAATTTGAACAATGGAGGACAAAAAATGATGTTGAACGCGCAAATATTTTTACTGAACAACTGACATTGTTTGAAGCTAAAAATGAAAAGATCAAGAAAATTACTACTGAAAAATGCGATTTGCAATCTAAGAACTGCGAACTACAAAAAATTAACAATAATATCAATGATCAGTTAAGAACTCTAAAATTAAACGAAAATATGTTCAAACTAAAGTTGGAGAACTCTGATAAAAACGCAAAATGTGCCCAAAAAGAATCTAACGACGTTAAAGTAAATTATAAATTCAATTAAATACCTATTTCATAATTTTATTATTCTTAGCGTGTGTATGGGATACATGCTGAGAATGATGAAAGATAAAAAGTTATGTTGGTTACCAAATTACTAAAAATGTAAATGCTCGAATTTGGTAATCAAAACATTATTTAGTCAGGTTGTATCGGGAGCGCGTAAAAACCTAGAATGTAAAAACTTGAACGGTACAAATCTGGAATAAAAAAAATTTTAAATCCGTAAAAATTTTGACGGTGCAAATCTGGACGTTAAAAAATTGGACGGTACGAAACTAGATCGTAAAAATCTGGACAGTACAAATCTGGCATATAAAATTTTAAAATCCGTAAAAATCTAGACGGTACAAATCTGGAATATAAAATTGTATGACGGAGAAATACTTGAACATTGAACTCAAGGTTCTTTATAAGTTGTACGCGCGATAGTTGTTTCAAATATTTTATTCTAAATTTATATCGTCCAGATTTGCATCGTCAGGTTATTTACGGATTTCAAAATTTTGTATTCTAATTTTGTACTGTCTAGATTTGTACCGTCCAAGTTTTCACATTTCAAGTTTTTATGTGGTCAGTCACAAGTTTATAAGATTACATAACAGATGGTTTTATTTCGTTCCCAAGTCCGTTTTACTCTTTTGTAAGGCGTTCAAAGGACATTTTTAGATTTCCGTTGTGATACATTTTGCAGACTTATGAGGTTGAAATGGTATGCGATTTCTGGGTTTTAACTTAGTTTTTTCACTAGTAAACGTCATAATTAGTAAATAGTTTTCATTATTATTATAAGGTCCAAACAAATTAATAGTTTTTAAATAATGGTGGGTGTTCAACAGTTCTTCGTATTAAGTATGATCATAAATGTATAAATTACTTTAGTCATCCAATTGATACGCCTAACAGCAAACAAATATTCTATTTTTTTTAAATTTTTTTTAGATTGAGTTGGAAAAAACAAATTGCATAGTTCGAAAATTGAAAATAAATCTAAAATCTATCGAAGAAGAAATTTGTGAAAAGCGCAAAAGAATAGAAGAATTTACTAAAACGTGCAACCGCTTAAATGATACGAATGAATCACTGGAAGCAGATTTAAAATGTACAAAAGCAAAACTAGATGATGCGAAAACGAGTGTAAAATGTGTGGAGGAACAGTGTAGGCTTAATATGGGTACATTGGCCGACCAGTTAAACATGAAATGTAAGCAATTAGACGATTTGGAGATAAAATATAGTGAAGCTACAAGTAAACTAGATATTAATAATGGTAAAATGGACACACTGATGACAACGTTATCAGCGTTGAAAACAGCGAGCTTAAAAAAGTACAATAAAATGATAAATGTGACCCAAAAGCTAAAAGAAGAAAATTCTGCAAAGGAAGCTGAACTATGTCGATTAAAAAATAATAACAAGCTATTGCGACGGGATAACGAATTCATTATTATGGGAAAAAAACAAGAAATGGAAAATCAATTGAAAAAGTATACATCAATATCTAATGAAATTGATCAAATCAAATTGAAATTGTCCTGCTGTCAAGTTTCTGAAAAATCCCAAACAGACGTTTGTTTTTCCAAAACTTCGATGAACAAGTGTTGNGAAAATCAATTGAAAAAGTATACATCAATATCTAATGAAATTGATCAAATCAAATTGAAATTGTCCGGCTGTCGAGTTCCTGAAAAATCCCAAACAGACGTTTGTTTTTCCAAAACTTCGATGAACGAGTGTTAACCTTGTGTTTAAATGAATTCCAAGATTGATGGTATACCAATGAACAGTTGAATTAGTAATAACGATATTGCCGCGAATATTTTGTGATACATCATCATCATCTAAAGGCCTCGCCTTGTCGTCATAGCCATAAGTCTCTGTCATTTGCCATGTTTTTAAATTTTGAATATGTTGTGACGTCCATGAGATGTTTGGGGTCTTGGAAATATGATCTTGGGCGTCCTCTAGATCTTTCCTTCGAAGATATTTTTCATAAATTTGTTATGTCGGAATAGGTGCCCTATTAATTTCGTTTTCCTTTTTAATATGTGTTTTATTATATTCCTTTTTTCGAGTACATCTTTCAGCACTTGCTTATTTGTTTTCCTTTCAACCCATGATGTTTTGTTCATTTTTCTCCAAATCTACATTTCCATTGCTTCTAAACGGTCCTTTTCCTTTTTCTTGATAGTCCAAGTTTCACATCCATATAGTAACACACTCCACACAAATGTTTTAATGAATTTTTTCTTCGTTTCGATTTTAAGGTGTTTGCTAATTAATAGACTGTTTTTCTTTATGAAGGTTTGTTTAGCTAAAGTTATTCTTTTTTTTATGTCCATAGTAGATGTATTATTATATGTTATTATACTTCCCAGATAGGAGAACTGTTCAACTTCTTGGATAACAATGTCGTTTAATTTTATAACTAGGTTGGTGTATATTTGATCTCTTCGGGCTGCCATTGTTTTTGTTTTGGTAGCGTTTATTTTCATATAAAATTTATCCATAACCTATGATAATGAGATTCATGCTGTCTTCACTTTCTCCCACCAATTGTATCTGTATTGTGATACAGACAAGTAGTATAAAAAGATTTGTTTTAATTATTACCACGCGTTTCGGAAATTTCAATAATCTTCGTGTCTGAAAAAAAAATATAGCAATAGACCAATAAATTGATAGAATTTGTTTTAATTCATTTTTATTTCATTCGTGTAAACATTTGTACATCTATTATAATTATGTTGTCCAGGTTGATATTTATATTTAATGGATAGCCAATTTATTAAAGTCTGTTAAAAACATTTTCCGAAATAGCACCGAAATTGCTATTGCTATATTAACACAACATCGGATATGAGATTAGCTATTTTATTGGATATAAGAATTTGTAATATTTTTTTGGCTGATCCCCATTTCAGAATTGCATTCATAATATTTTTTTATAAATATTATAACGCTATGTAAATCATATTTGGATCTTGATCGAAGGTTGTTTTATTTTATAAGTTTTATTTATTTTCGTTTTTCAACGGCATTAGCATTGATTTTCATAATATAATGATGAGTGAAAATAAAATAATGGTGAAATGTGTTGCTCAATAGATATTTATGAGCAAATAAAACTATTATCTAATAACAATATAAACAGTATGTTTTTTACCGATTACTTGTATAACAATAAAAATTCTTCGATCAATTTGTATTGAATAACAAATAGTCACCTACTTATATGCAATATAGCAAAAAACTATCGGTTCCGGACTGCGTAAACGGAAACACGTTTTGACTCTTCGTGTATCACTGTATAATATTATTTACATTTCAAAGTCAGCGTTAAGTAATATTTGTGAAGGGCTTTATAATAGGGACTTAGAATATGATATTGAAAATTAGTTTTGTATATCGTGCTTGTACTCCAAAAAATGTGTTTCATTGTATGTGCCATTATGACGACCCCTATCCAACTCCTAGTCAAAATAGTTTGAAACCCGATTGTAAATAAGATGATTAAAAACTTCTGTAATGACTAATTGAAATTAAATCATTATCTTCAAATGTACGAAACGTGCGTTTCCACGGGTTCTCAATTACACAATTTTTCTTGGCCTAATTTTTTGTATTCCGTTAATTATTGGATGGCAGAGAAATGGTTTTCAATTGAATTCAAAATTCAGTGGAGGGGTGCTGGGGAAATTGGCAAAATGGCCGATTTGTATAAATTTCACTCACTTATCTACTCTGGTTTCTTGTGATTTTATTTTATGTGCTTTTATTATTTTAATGTTTGTTTGATTAGAAATTCCTATTTATTATAAGTTAAAGAATTAAAGAAGGCGTTTGCAAATAAATGACGGAACCGAAGGTAAAGACTATATTGTTTTTGGAACATTTAGTGTATTCTACATAAACCACTGAGGAAAAAATTACCAAGCTCAAAAATATTATCATAATACGACGGGGAATTTTAAATTACGTCGGTTTATATCAGAGACGGGCAACTTTTTTATCTGGCCTGTGTACATTATAAAATTGCATCGTACAATGTTTACGTTCATCTGTATCGGATGTGTGAACTTCCTTGTGAACTATTTTTCCTTAACATTTCATACAACTTTTGTCATTATTATTACGTCATTGAAAACTATGTAATTAAAAATTACGTCCAACACACGCATCCCTGCGGGTCTATTTGGTACACTATTTGTTTTACCGGATTCGGAGATGAAGGCGTTCTGAAAACACATTCGGCTGATATCGTTACATCGGCCGTCGGTTTTTTCGCAGCGTCGTAAACCGTGTTGTCTATACCTCGTGCCTGTATCGCGTTGTTTTGTTTTTTTTTTTTTTTTATCGATTTTCACGGTCTACGTAGAATATGGGTGACGAAAAAACCCCCGCGTCGTTGTCGCGAAATTCCCGACCGCTGCGGGTTTTGCAGAATCCCACGATACGCGATGCATAATACATAACTGTTACGAAAAAAAAGCGGGGGGGAGGGGGGAAAACGACCGACCGCGGGAACAGAAAAGGCGCGTAAATTACTCGTATTACTGTGTGTATACGCGCCAAATCGACCGGTGACGCCGTCGCCGCCGCCGCCGTGGCGTAAACGTAAGTGGATTAGGGCAACAGCTGAATGTCATTGGGTTCCGAGAACTCGCGAGGAGCGCGTTCCCGTGAGCAATATAAATAACGGTACAATATCGTTTATCATATTGTGCTGATATACCTTACCGCACTCTTACCTTCTGATTTATTCATCGCGTAGTACGCGCGCCTTTGAGATAAAAAAAAAAAATAATAATAATAATAATATAAGCACGAGGGCAGGGTAATAGTGTTGTTATTATTGTTATTATTGTTATTGCGTATTCCGCGCTTGGTCACACTGTCTGCGGTACCGGTATATTTTCATTATCGTTTTCCGTTTTATTCCGCGTTCCTCCCCGGCGCGCGACGGCATCGCCGCTCGGATCCACTGACCGGCGACCATATCGTACGGGTACCTATGCCATTGTCTTAAGATCACTTACGTTCAATTCAAATTTATGACGTTACTTAGATGCAAACGGGGCCGGATCTAGAAATTTTATATGAAAAAACCGGACTAATTGGGCCGTTCCCTCGTATTAAAAGAAAATGGTACTACTCTACTCTTAGTTGAACATATTATTTTATACGAAATCGACTTTTTTAATACGCAAATGTTTATGCAGGCCACAAACCTTGACTACAATTTTTAACACAACAGAAATAACATAATCTACCCATCTCCCCTACAATCTATTAAACTATCACATCTATATCTATTAAACCAAAACATTAAATAACTAACAAGTAGAGTTTTATTCGCGATTCGTCTTGATTATAAACAACTTTATAGTAATTATGAACAGCATCTATGTAATGTTCTATCATGTTTTTTTTTTTTTTTTTATATCAAAAGGAAAACAATATTTGAGTTTGGAAAAAAAAACACGTAGACCAGTAATGCGCAAGTCACTATATCTATTAAAGAGGTCAAACACTTTATAACACGGGCCAAATCACTATAATAATATTGAATTTTAAATACGCAAATGTATAGGTACCTTGTGCGATATACACGAAGCCACCGTTACTAACTTATAGACGCTATAATAACAATAGGTTACAAGTTAATGTTTTTTTATAGTAACCCGCAGTTGCTTTTTAGTGAATTCGTAACTATATAGTGGTTAGTCGAATTACTTCCATTACTATTATTATTATTATTATTATTGTTGTTATAGGTCAGTTGGGGCGGTGTAATTTAACGCGTTGTAGAACGGCCACCAAAATATTGTCCGCGGTCCCGTAGTTAATGCACGTTTGTTTTTCTAAATGTCGCACAATAACAAGCGTGTATTGTTTGCCAAAACGAGATAGGAGAAAACAGGGAGTGATGGGGGGGGGGGTCGGAGAGACATTATAGAGTCATACATCCAGAGAAAGGGTCACTACCGTGACCGATTTAACGCACGCAATCAATCGTTTTGCATAATGCATCAATCGCGTACCGATCTTTTCACGACCTGACCGTGTAGTATAAATAGTACGAATACAAATACAACAGCCACCTCACCGCCACATGCGCCGTTATATAGTATTGCACCAGCGTGTTAAAACCGTGGGTTTTTTTCCTCGTAGCAATATTCTTTTCCGCCGAATCTCACATTCGTGGAAAAGAGAACGCTACGCCCCTGTGGATTTTTTTTTAGCGAATATCCCGATGAGTGTCCGCTCCGCCCTATCTCAAAAAAAAAATCTCCGGGAACAGATAGACCAAACCATTCCATTGGCTTTCGGTATTTCCTAGTTCAGAGTGTTTCTTACACAAAAATACATAGTCTGTCGTTACCCAATCGACCAAACATTTAGCGTTTACTTTCGTGTGGACACACTGTATGGGCGAAATCTCACTCTACTGTAATCTCCAACGGACTTTACCGTGGGTCCATTTGGACACAGAAAACCCCCATAGATAATAGTCAAACATTCTCGACGTCACGCGACGGAGGACGATGATGCACGGAAATTCCAAATCTTGGACAAGTCGACCGCGGCCTTTTCAAAACTGGATCTGCGACAGCGTATCGTATACTGTGTACGTTATTAAACACACGCGTGCTGAATTCGTTGACACGTATTCGTCGTCGTAGTGGACGATTTTTTTTGTGTCATTAGCATAATAAACTTAAGACATGCCGTTTTAAAATGTACCGTTTGTTTGTATTTTGTTCTCTAGGAACAATAGATGTTTATCGAAGATTTCGGCTCGAACGCTTCGAGAAAATTTCCAGCCGCTGTATATTCGATCATACATCGAATAACGAGTCTACCATCGATAAATATTTACAATATTTCAGTTTCACCACAGCGACGTGTTTGCAGTACCTACTCGAAAATTCAATTTCATCAATATTTGTTTCGTGGTATACACACAATAAAAATATTTAACAGAAACATAGTAGTGTTTAATTAATTAATTCAAACATTTGCGTTTTCTATTGCGACTACGGTGTTCACTAGACGGATGGTAAATAGCAATAAATTAAACGTAAGCATTATTGAGTATTATTTATATTATTATAGAGGAGAGATGAAAAACCTGATTAAAAATCACACTCGTATTATGACAAAATCTACAGCATAATTTATAATATTTATCGTAGTGAAATTTGCGTTAAAATAATCGGAAATATACGAGTATATTTGTTTTTTAAACAATTTTCTATTTGAAATATTATAATAGTGATTTGTATTTTTTATTAGACTGATATTGATGCTGTTTATATTTATAAAATTGGTAAATTGTATAAATACAACACAATATGCTAGTTCATTCTGTTATTTATGAACTGATATCATAATATTCTTTATCATTTCACTTTCGTTGATCTGCAGGAAACAGTAGGTATATTGCTGGTCCAATGTCAGT